AAAATTGCAATCGATAAACAAGGCGATCACTTTTAAAGTGATTTACAATATTCACTTGGAACATATCGTGAATGTGATTTGTTATGTAACAATTAAGTGAAGATTGTTTACTACAAAGAAAACAGCAACACTGGGTGTGACAAGTGGTATAATGGTATTATCTAAAGCAGTCCTGTCTACAATGTGACAAAGGTGCTTAAGTTGATATGGTAATAGAGGGAGTTGTGTAACATATGCTTTTGGTATTATTTTGACACAACAAACGATGATTATATTGATGTTAATTAACTTGCTGAAAAATGCAAACTGTTTGACCTACAGTTCGTGGTTGTGCCTACCCGGCTGCATTTTAAGCAATCAATATAGATTTATTGAAATACGAGGAGAATTATTTGAGTTGTGTTGAACCCGTTTCAAATTATATAAAATGTAATGTCAAGGGTAGCTATAACGAAGATGTCGAATTTTGAACAAGAAAAGATAAATAATGTGTCATCAATATTACACCCGACAATTGCAAGACGTGTTCAGAGTATGAATTTGCCGATTGGTAAGATGTGTAAAATCAAAATAAAAATTTCATATTCACAAAACGTTGTGAGTTGTGTTATAATTGTACAGATATTATACAATATGTTTTGTATTATGAAATGATCCAATGTTAAAAATTAAATGTAATCACATATTCCAAGTCATACAATTCAAAACCACAGAAGTGCAATGAATGCACTTCAAGTAACAAAGTTAAACCAAATGGTGATGAGTGTCTTCTCAAGACAACCGAACAATTCTTAATATGTTGTATTGAAAACACAATATTTTCAATTCTTGATAATCTTTGTATCAAAGTTGTTTAATTACTTTATAACAAATATATTGATTTCTTTACTAACAACAATAGTACGTTAATTCAACGAACTTATTAAATTTTCAACATAATAAAACAAACCAAAGAAAACCAAAAAAATAAACATATCCGATGTTGGAATCCAAAAGGGTGTTTGTTGTCATTTAATCATTTTCTCGAGTTCTCTTGAGTTGATCACACAAACATGGACAAGTCTTTTTAAGCAATACCCGAAGATGTATGTGACCAACTTTTGAAAAATCAGCTCCACTCTTCAAAAGGTGTAAAAATGAAAGATACGCTCGATCAATTTTTGAACATTCTTTTATTATTATTTTGTGTTGGAATGGGAGTATTGGTGTCTATGGGAGTTTATTACAGGCATTATAATATGAAGAATTAACAATCAGCAATTTTATCTTAGCATGTGGGTCTTACGAATTTGGCACCATCAACAATACCTTTATTTTTGACACTGTTTTAATGTAATAAATGAAAAGAAGTTTGATATAGTCATTACCATCATCCAAATTGTTGTGTCCATCCAGTGCTCTAAATAACCAAAAACACTGAAAAAACTATTTTGATTGTAAATTTTTGCCTCATAGATTATACTTTAGAACCAAAAAAAATCGTTTTAGTAATTATCAACCTTTTATAAAAACAAAATCTAAATACATTGATTTGCTCGACAATCTTAAACGCCTAGTCAGTGCCACATAAAAAAGTTGAAAATTTACTCTTCTTGTTACTTTATCTGAAATATTAGACAAGAAGAACAAATGTTGGGAAGCCGGTTCGACCAATTCAGAAGTGATGTTCTTCAAACTAACCACCTCAATGGACAACTGGTGTTTCCTGAAATGAAGACAGAAATGAAAACTTATTAGTAAAAGAACAAGAACGTTATATGAACACAGACGTTTATCGATAGGTCTTTGCAGCTGTTATGGGAGCGGAGATTGTGTCGATGGGTATCAACGGATCTTAAAAATGAAATTAAAGGGAGAAGTCTTTAAATTAGTGGTGCGACTTTTTCGCCTTCCTTTACTGAAAATAAATCGAAAATAGTACAACAAAACATTTTATAGTGATGTTTAGAGTTGTGATTATATTTGTTAGATTACCATGTTTTAAATTAATCATTAACTAAAGTTTTTAATACTTTTTCAATATATTATCAACTCTTTTATTTGTATTATTTTTTCACTTGGAATTTACTCCAACCTTTTTTGATGAAATCATATTGCATGTTTGTAATATCTTCACATTGTGATTAACGACCTCCTGTAAATATATAGTATGCTAATTTGTAAAATTAAGTTAATTCTTGGCTTGTAAATACGCTCTCGTTAAAAGCACTCATCCATGAAATTAGCGAACAAATAATCATCAGAACTTTTCTTGTTTTTTTAGAATAAGAACTTCTGGCAACATCTATTTTGAAGTACTAATTCCCTTTGTGAATATTATGTTCTTTATCAACGCATTGACATTTTGTGATGACCCAAAATCATTCAATTTATTATTCATATCAATTATTTTTTTTAATGAAAACAACAAGATATTGTCTGACTTGATATCTCATTGTACAATATCCCGTTGTGTTAAAATAGAGTAACCCATTTGTGGCTTTATACATAAACTTAACGAGCAACTTTTCTACGACTATTTTAGCCTTTTTTGTTTTATCAAATAATTAAAATTGCCACATATCGCAATTTGGCGACTGTACATATATTGATTGGTAAAATCATTGTTCCATAATAGTGTAGGACATATTCATTTTTAAAT